GAGGAATTTGTACTGAACATAACGATGCTCTTAGCAAGCCTATAGTTGATGTGTAAATACTTACTGCCTGTAATTGTTCTTCAGTTCGAGTACCAGGAGCCATTGAGAGAATTTGAACAGCATCTGAGCTTAATTTCACCTAATACAATTAAAATGAATTGATTTATTGAAAGTTCGATTGACTTATGATCAGTAAAATGAATCAGGTTCAAATCGGTGATTGATTTATCGCTTGGAGTGAATTTTTGAAATATGACTTACAGCAAACTTTTTCAAGCTCAACAATTTTTGATTTAACGATTGATTGATTGATTGATTGATTGATTGATTGGTTGATTGGTTGATTGATTGATTGACTGGTTGGTTGATTGATTGATTGATTGATTGATTGATTGATTGATTGATTGATTGATTGATTGATTGATTGATTGATTGAATGTTTGAATGTTTGACTGATTGATTGATTGATTGATTGAATGTTTGACTGATTGATTGTTCGAATGAATAAATAATTTATTGACTATATTATCGTACGTCTTTCACAGCTTTGAAGTAAGTCGGATCAAACACCATCCCATCGTCATTACACACGACTGTTTCTGTTAATTCATCGAGTTGTTCAAATACTCCACCATGTTGCTCTTGTTTGTATTTTCTGTTGTCAAAGAAAGAACAATTTATAATGACAATATGTAGAACAAATACACAGCAAAAACATATTGGACACTCCTTGCATGTCAAGTCAAACCACCCTCACTTGGGGGACAAAACAAAACGCTTTGGCCCCAGATAGAAACACACACGTAAATATAAAAACATTTCCAATAGACTTAGTGAAGCCATGCTTCCTCTCACCTGTCCGTACTAGACTTGATTTTTAACAAAAAGCAGAGAAGACGAACAATTTTTTGAAATCTCTCAATGGGCTGARAAAAATACAACAAATGGTTAATCAAACCATCATCAACATAATCATTCTCATTTTAACTTTATATAACTTAGTCTGACGATTTTAGCCGTTCTTTGTTTAGATTTTTGGTTTRTCTCATTGTGTAACTTAAAGTACTTAAAGAATCTTAAAGTACCGGACCACCCACTACTGATGGGTATTTAGAGATAATTAATTTGATTTAAATTTAATTGGTCATTAACTTGTCATTAACACCTAATTATATCACCCTCTATTATAGGTCATCGTGCCTTACGATTTGACCAGGAATTGGTATACTGAATACTGGACAGTTAGTAAGATGGTAGAATTTGATATCATCAATACACTTTCTGTTCATTTGAGTTTATTTGTGCAGCTTACCCGACGTTTAGAAAGTGTACTATGAACCTGTACAAAGACGTCATCATACGATTCCTGGTCATCTAATTCCATTARGTTTTCTCTGCTCTCTACCAAACCACTGCCCTGGTTGACCTCCTCGGACCAGGATCTGGAAACAAGTTGTTGGTGTCTTTGCTCAGGAGTTAATTTTCTTTGTCTGTGTTGTCTTGTTGTTTGCTCATGACTTATTTTCCTTATTTTGTTACCATTGTCGCTTTGGGTTCTAAATCCAGCAAAGCTACCAGCTCTTCTCTGTGGATACACCATACTTTTCGATCGTTTTAATGTAGCTAACTCAGGAAGCCTTGTAGTAGACTTTTTGTCCTCGGACTGATAAGGAATTTTCCTGGCTTTCATGTAACGAGCTATGGTCTTATCAGGAAGAATAGACTTTTCCAGGAACTTTTTATTGCTGACGAGAGTTTTGTGTGAGAGGCTAAAGTCAGGGAGACGGCTCTTTAGATTATACTTTTCCTTGCTTTCTGATGCAATTGTTGGATTATAAAAATTGAATTTCTTGGCCATAAGCTGCGGTATTTTGACTTCACTGTAGCTCCATTGACTATCATAGTCTGATGACGATTCTTCCATGTTATTGCTTGGCTTGTTACGATCTTTGTGGACAAGAAACGTGTGTTCTTCGTTTTGTTTTAATGAGGAGGCTTCCATGGTGATTCGTCACTAGGAGCGAATAATCGACTGTTAAGGACTCATCAAGTCTATACGTCCAAATGACAGTTGAAGGTAAACATCTTTTACTTCTTGATTTAGTCTTGATAGATATAGAATATCTTTTACTCTATGACAATCCTAAAGCAAGGTTAACTTAGTATTGATCTTTACTAGTCTGCACCACTCAGTTGTTGTAGTTATCGCCAAACGYTTGGTTATCCTCTTGCTGTGACTAAACGCAACCGGTTYATTAAATTGCAGTTGCTATGACAGTGAAGGTCTCAGGTCTCGTATAGTAGGGCACCATGACACAAAGCTTCTGTTATAATCATTACTGGCCTCCGATCAAATTAACACCAGTCCGGCACAATACTTGAARTAAGGTGTGAACAATGTACAACAACTTGCTTTACAGAAAGAAATCTCTGCACTTCAGCCACTTGTGTGAGAGCGGCTTATCTGGGATATGTTGTGAAGTCTAATCATGCAATAAATGTATCCCAAATATCTTGAGTATGTTGCTGTTTTTATGACCAAAGATGAAGCTTGATTTGAGGTTTTGTTTGAAGTTAGTTTAAGAGGCGCCACAGCTCAGCATGGCTCACATCAACACAATAAAAATTAAATCCATCGAAATGAAAGCTGACGCAAAAACATTCAAAATTTGCAGACATGCATCATTTACGTCATGACTCTCAAGCCTATTCGCGCCAGGCTGTCATTACAATCAAGCTGAATTGGGATCAATATTTTGTAATAAAAATAATTAAGAATTTTGGTAGCTAAATCACATAATAGGCTGTTTTTCAATTGAATTCAATAGAAGGATTTTTAATGGATTTCTTATTAATGAACGTAATGGCTATGTTTAGAGGGTCACAACACTAATAGTTTAGTCATTATTGCATTCCTCTTGAGATTGAGATATATTAACCAGCTGGGAATTTGATAAACGTATTTACTAACAATTCGCAGTTTGTACAAGGGATAAAAGACCTGTATTCAGTTCACTTAAACAATAACATTATCACCTTGACAACAAAACAATGCGATTGTATTATGGTTGAATAGGTCGTTCAGGTCGATACACCACTCCAGGACTCCCTTCCATTATACGTTATACCATTATACGTTATACCATTATACGTTATACCATTATACGTTATAATAGGGACTTTGGGTTCAACTGATTGTTCGACAGTTGTGTTTAATTATTAACTATACCTTTGTTACTCTGTTATCTCAATTCTTGTTGTTTACCATCCCAATTAATACTGATTAAAATTCAAGCTTTTTTTATTTCCACAGTAGTTTGTTTAGAATATGATCTGATTTTACTCTTTAACAACTTGCGTGAAGAAAAGAACACTTAATTGATAATGTTATCGACTAGGTTTATGATCCTTACAATTAATCATCATCATCATTATCATTATCATCATTATCAACATCATCATCATTACCATAATGAAAGTAGTCCATTAGTGAATACAACTCACCGTTAATTTCTTGCCATGAATGTCTAGCACTGATATCTTTCTAGCATACTGGAGGCTTCCTTGTAGATTCCTTTGAAGCATTTTCTGTTGATGGAGTTTTCTAGCAATTTCTCTTGCTTCTTCAAATTGTTTTGTTTCCCTTCGTTCTAGTTTCGCTTGGACTTTTTGAAGTCTTTTGATCTCCCTATTAATAGACGATTCTGGATGATTGAGATTCATGACTTTGATGGCCACGTTACTCAAAGTTACCCGTCGGCTGCGGCCAGACCTCACGTCCTCTTTTCTCTGCTAAAATATATCAACATTAGAATTGGTCATTATTTTATCAGCACTTATAATGTCATGTCTTTAGTTTTACTATTCAACAAATAAGCCAGTCATATCATAATTTTGTTAAGTATGGGAAACAAACAATTTCTTATGCTTTCTATAATAATGAAAATTAAATTTGAGATAAAATTAGCGTGCAAATGTCCTAGTAAACCTCACGAAGAGCGACTATTTGAAATCCAAGTACACTCCCTTCCGAATCACCATTCCTCTGCTCCCCTCCCCTCTTCTGAACTTCTAGCTCCACCCAACCTTCCGATGCCGGTCCGATTCTCACAGGGACTATAGTATGCCAATCTAAACATAAAAAAAACAAGGGAGGATAMAAGGGGAGGATTTCCAATTTTAAATATTTATCAAATTCTAAAGAAAATTTAATAGTGAATATACATCAAAATTTCAGAATGTTCAAAGTTAACTGAATTATCGGTTATATCGATGTACATTAGCTACAGACTTTCGACTTTCGTAATCTGTGTATTGACCCGTGGTATTTAATTTGAAAAATTCTGTATCCCCCCTGAATACTTTGCATAACTAGAAATGTGCAGAATGCAATGACAAAATCGAGGTGTATTGAATACCTTGATCTTTTGAGCCATTTCTACCCATCGATTTGATGCCTTAAACGAACCGCTTGACTTGAGACTGTTCCCAAGGAGGTTGCTGAACTTCGTTAGTTTCTGTGACTTGTTGTCTACGTACAAAAAATAGAAAGTTTAAAGCTGCTTGTTTGATCTTCAGGAGGAGTTCTTTTTAACACTGTTCATCTAAGACCTTTATACAGCTTTTTCAAAAAGTTCTCAAAGAGAACGGAGAATGACAGAAAATTATTATGGGCATTCAATTTATATAACCGTCATCCAACGCAGATCTTCATTAAACATGACAGCTATCAATCTCCTCGACAATCTTTTTTCAGACTACGCCCTTTTGATTGATTCGCTGTTACCCCTCATAGTACTACTCTGTCACAGAAAGAACTGTCTATAGTATCTAACGCACTTATATGGTTTGCAACCGTATATATAAGTTWATCTCCTGTCTACACTAGTTGARACTTAGAGTGAKCATTTAATTTTGATCATATATATCATGTTCCTTTTCAGTAGTGGTTGTTTGTAGAAGTTATCAAAAGTAAGTTTCTGATCTTTAAGTACTTTTCAAGGGACCGTGGACAGGGGAGAGTGTATTTTAGCTTAGTAAATGTTGCTTGCTGTTTTCCAGCCTTCATTGCTAGCTGTTTACCTAGTTGTACAGATAGTTTGTATTACATACTGCTTACAGTCCATGAATCCATTATCCACTATCGTTAAGATTGAAAACATGAGAAACTGAACGAAAGTACCTGACTCGTGGACCCGGATACCGGGCATTCTCTTGACTCATTCATAATGCCCTACAAAGACTTATCATTTCAGATTGAGTTTTCCATGTACATATTTGACAAACGTAATCACTAGAGATTTTAATTGGCAAATATTCCTTGGTCAAGAYTAATTAATCTCATCTCTAATCAAAATGTTACATGCTTCATARCCATTTCTCATTCGGTACAGATTTGCAGAGAATGCAGATTTTTGTGAAATATAGATATTCATTCTCTTTCAACCAACAATACATTTATGTGTAGAAATTTGCTGTAGCAAGAACAATCTYTAAAAKAATTGGCCTTAAAAACCCTGATCCGATAACRWTATAGTGAGAAATCATTCCGAAATTATACGATCTCAAGTATTTGATATGTAATGAAATGATGTAATGCGCACTGTAAGAAAAACTGTCGAAATCACTTASAATAAGYACGYAGTGTGATAGTGGTTCGTCTTTTCRCTTATTGTTTGTTGTGTGAACAGTAAACACTGAATACAGACAGTGTACCTAAGTTTACTACAAACTTCCTGAGGTRRTTCTACAATTTCGATTTCGGTTTACTGAATCAGTGCTGGTATTTAAGGTAAATTTTGTTGACCATGTAGTAGACATACAAAATCGTGTCATAGCAATAAAGATCTATTTACCAACATAACAACCTCGTTAAGGTCTCAATAATACCCAACACAAAATTACAATCAACAGCTGTGTTAATATGCAGTTTAACTACATGTATGTCTTAGGTGTGAGATATATTRCGTGCCAAGTACTTTGATATTATACTTACTATTTTCATTGGAATCCTCAGCGAAAAAGTACCCTCCACTTGACGCTTGAATCTTATGCATCGTGAAACGCTTAGCAACCTTGATGATTTAGGTCTACGCCGTTAATGGTCACCGGAAGACRTCGTTAACGACTGTAAAGCGACTACTGCGAATAATCGTTCAAGAATCGATATAAATTTATGTATTGACTAGTATTACAGTTTGTAAGGTTGGCAAGAAGTACGCTGTGTGAACAATCTACACACTGATTTCTTTTGTTTACAAAGGATTAGAYAAACTCTTTACATACTTCACGGAATGGAGTCTTTTGTATAATGGTGAACCAAATTTAGATTAATTACTTTTGCATCCTTAGAAAAACTCTATTCATCCGAATCAAAAGATCCGACTTTAAAGCAAATTAAGACTTTTCAATGAGTATAATTGTATCTTGACGTTGATTGGTCAACAGCCGTGTTTATCAAGTGATTGTAAGTATATTTGAGTTATCGTTAGTTTGGTGGCCGCAACACCAGCCTTTATTACCCTGGTTTGGTATTCTGAGCTAAGGAAATTGAACGAAAAGCTCGTTGAGTTAGCTTTTTTGTTCAAATGCTTCTTTGTTTTTCAGTACTTTTGTTTTAGAGAAAGGCAAGTATGCCTCTTTTTATTTATCTTTGCATTACCATCTTGCCGGATCGACTATGATTCAGTCAAGAGGCTTTGATGTTAATTCAACGTTTATCCATAATTAGTAACCACTAACTATGGTTTATCGATTCACAGCGGTGTCAACAGATATTTCTCAGTTTTAAAAGTATTAATCTCAACAGCAATGAAGATTGATGACAAGTTTCATGCCATCATAGTATGTATTTTGAGCTTTGCCTATAATTTCAATTACATAAGGAAAATTCAAATGTATGGAGACAAACTGGTGTTTCTATTTTTGTGAAACTTTATTTGGCATCTATAAAAGTAATTATATTTTACAAAACAGTTACTATTATAAAAATTTAAATAGTACAAAAATGTTACTCTAAACTTTACACATTCTAACACGACTTAGGCCAGGCAGGACCTGCACACATATGAAGTACGACGTCTAAGTAGAATAAGTAGTTTTAATCTCTAACTAGTGTGTACTAATAAAAATAGAGCTCAAGTTAACAATTAAACGCCTGCATATGTGAAATTAAAGGTTTAAACCGAGCTCTAGTTGAGYTATACTCGTCAATATGACTGGTATTGTATATCTTTTTAAGTGTCTTCCAGTAAACCTTGTCGCGCTCTTTAATAAAACCGTCTAAACCAATGTGTTGTCCTGTCCCCAAACTGACTTTCTTTGTTGATTTGGTTCTTGGATGTTTCTTTAATGTCTTTACATGCTCAAGTTACTCCAAGACATATCATAGGGCCTGAAAAAGAAGGTGTGTCAAGGATTGTCTCCCAAAACATCGAAAACTAAGTAATCAATTATTAGGAAATAAGACGCCCCCCAAAAGCCAAAGCTAAAAGGGATTAGTTTTCTCTTCNGTGCCCCGCCCAATTTACCCTCATTTTTTCTTAAAAGTCGCCTTAGGTTGCGAAGACTTAAGGCGACTTTCTCCCGGAGTAGGCCTAACAAGTAAATGAATTCAACAGTTGTTTGCAACCAGGAACAAAACTGACACTTYAAAATATCATATATAATGGTRAGCATGTTTGATTTTMACCTTTCAGTTGTTGATGGTCTGCCATATCCTCCCTTAAAGTCATGTGTAGTGGTGGTTTGCCAATGTAGAGCTGGAGTCTGAGCTGCAATAATACAATAAACAAGTCAGTCTTACATATAATATCGGCATTACCACAGAACATTGTCATACTTTACCTTTTGAATTTGGTCGAAATCTTTCAGGTTTCCAAGGGTTAATCGGTTTTTTACTTTGAAGGTCTGAMGACATAAATCAGAAAGGTTTTCAATGGTTTTTTAACCTTATCCTATATCTACAATATTAGAAGAGACGTCTCATGTATACCGCTGGCTATGGTAAAAAGGTTAACCATGTATGTAGGTATTTATTGCACGAGTTCTATAAAAGCTAAACCTTGACTCGTCTTAACTTGTGTCTCTGGTGAACATGTGTTAAGGCAGGAAGAAAGRTGTACCTACCAAGTGGTTTTCCATCGAATGTCGATTTATAAGTTGTACTAAACCATCGATGTTTATTTGCTTGGAGAATATTAATCGGTGCTGACTGGACTTGACGAGGTGGTTCCTCGGCTGCAAGATTATTCTTCCATACAAGATATGTCTGTAAAATTAGTTAACATTGTTAATAACTAGAGGACACTTTATCGTAATTGTGCCGCCATGCAAGGTTTCATACTATCTACTAGTGTCAGGTAGTACACTAGAAGCGCTATTACCTTATTAGGATATTGCCAAGGRTCACTAAGTCTAGGATGTGGGTTATTTCGTCGATGTACAGACACTGGTGTGGGAACACTGTGTCGACTGTATTGAGCTTGTGGTGTTCTAAATGTTCCTGCGTAGTGTGAACGCTCAAATGGCCATCCAGTTGGCAGATGTTCGGCAGTTTTCATCCTTGAATAGAAAATATTATYATCAGTGAAAACGGCATTTATTCTTCTAGCAGTAACGATACGGGAGGGTCCTGGGAAGGGACGAGTATCGATAAAATTGAAATCCCATTCCCATGTTTTCAAAGTTCTCTTGCATTAAAACACAATTCCCAGTGCATGAAATTCCATTTCCCACAATCCATTGATAATGTAATGATCATGATGATCATAATAATGTGATGCTATAATCATCATGGGTGACAATAATGTGGATAATGACTGGTAATAGCGTAGCATAATAGTGGTAGTCCATACAGTTGTAAGATAATATATTTATTAATAATTACAAAGTATTACAAGGTCATGAATCCCGCACACAAGCACAAGCACTCAACAGTCCTCTACGCCATTAGTCATACGTGATATCACGCAATAACGAATCCACTGTTCTTACACATTCATAGTATAATCATGGTTATAGGTCTAATACAAACTAAAATGGCTTTCATAAAACCATAAAATGCACGTTATTGCTATTTACTGTGAACGTTTTTCTTGTTTATTCACACTTTCAATTGTTTCACGGACTTTCAAAATCATGTCGACGTCCATTAATTAATGAGAGAGACTGAAACCTAGAAAAATCTTCACGATGTGTGAAGTCRCAGGGCAACCCACAAAAATTATAGCATTTAACGCAACATGGAGAAAATACTAACAACCTATTGGCCAAACGACGTAACGGCGACCTTTCCACTCCAACTCAACGTAATAGTAATTTAAGACGCCTGGCGTGATTGAAATCGAACCTTTTTATAATCTTTTAACAAGATTATACTTTTCGAACATTGTGAAATCACGCCAAAATGTCGTTACCCTGCGAGCAGAGTGTATTTCCTTAACTCAATACACTCTGCTCGCAGGGTAAAATGTCGTATATTCCTCGTGGAAGCTCGACAATCAATTGATAACTGTAGATTGCTGCCAATCACTTGACGTAAGCMCCGCACGTATACCCGTATTTGTTTTCTCATGATCTAAGCTGTAAATCTCTTGACAAGTCTCTGGATGCAGTGCACACAGTTCCACACGGTTAAAAAAAAAAAAAACAAAAAAAAACAAAAAACAAAACAAAAACGGGAAATAAACCACTGATCAATTTGTCTGGTTATATCATATAAAGTAATTATTGGTTAAGCTCTAGTCTAATGAAAACAAGGTTGTTTAACATGGCGAGTAGTTTGTATATTCATTGGTAAAACGTTATGTCCGTTTGCCACAAAGAAAACCCTCGTATTTAGTTACCTCTGAGGAGCAGCAACAGATCCCGGTGCTCCGACGTAGTCTCTTGTATAAGTAGTCCATGGGAAAGCTTTTTTCCTGATGCCTGATGCTATAAAGACATCATTTRACAATTAGAACAGTCTAAACATTTAATAACATTGTAATGCTTTCACAGTAAATAGTAATGTGTTCGTAAGACTACTATAGAGATCTATATAGGCCTAAAAGAATTACGAGAAACCAGTTTATAAATCAAGATATTAAAAATATTAATTGAAATCAAGAAGGATTATCTACGAGCTCAGGTTTTATTTTTGTTAATGCGCCTATAATGTCCCATGAACAGACATCGTTATTAATCTAGAATACTAACACCTATAACATTTCCATATTAGTGATAATTATTACTACTAACCAGTGCTGGGAGTTACAGGTTCAGTGCCCCATGGTGGATTCTTCACTGTACTTTTAACCAAATCGTCTTGCTCTTGCTCTTGTGTGAACTGCCTCATTGTAAAACGTCTTTAAACAGCGAAACCTTCTGTTTCTATYGCGGTTTTTCCAGTATTTTGTTCAGCAATTATAACATCGGCATTTCAGGGACGTTATTTAAAGAATTTGCGAAGAAATATACCGTTTTATCGCGAAATAAAAAGTCAAGTTTACGAAGTGTGTTTGTGACTCCGTAAGGGACACTTGTGGTTCAACAAGGTAAGTGACGTTAATTGGTTGAATGGTTGCTATGGGAAACATGAAAGAGTTAATAAATGCGTCTGGGGATCAAGTCTTTTGTTTGCTCTATTAGCAGTTGTCGCTTTGACGAATAACCAATCAGCCGTGCTAAGCTTTTGTGCGTTKTCTCGGTTTTATGTGTAAATTGTATGTAATTTTAACATTCAGAATCAAGAAAAAAGAAAACAAAACACACACACACACAAACGAACTCGAAAAATGAAATATAAAACCAAACAGCGACTTGAATACTTATTTATTCTATCGCTAGTGGTCCAGCTCGTGACTGTGCTGGCAGAATGTATTTTTACTCCGACGAAGGATTAACGTCCGAAACGTCAGTAAGTTATTTCACATACTTTTTTTACGGTGTTAAATTTATCTTTTTACATAACTATTTCTTTAGAAACACCGACGCAGCTCACACTAATTTACTGCTAGTTCGCACCAGAATGTACTGTAGTCAGGTATTCAAGAAYATAGAGCTGCGCCATCAGTWAAAAATAACCGAGCCTTCGCATGGAAGTGGACAGCGGTTGAGCTTGCAGGGACGTTTTGTTCATACAAATTCCCCATTCCCCTGTCTCACATAAGCGAAAATGTCACCTACTTTTCCTAAGTTTGTTTCCTTTTAGTTGTCAACTCACTTTAAATATATCTAAGAGCAGTGCAGTTTCGGTTTTGTATCTAAGGCTGATCTATATCATGAAGTCCTAGATATACCAACTCAAAACAAAAACACCGTGAAACGTCAATAAAACCCCATGCCTAGTTCATACTGGTAAACACTCTCCTAGATGTTAGAAGTCCGCCACAATATTGTAATGATTGATTGATATTTACGATGGGAGCTGAAAAATATACAAAATGTATTCAAGTCTGCTAGTCGTGTTATGTAACTGAGCTACTGAGCACGTTTCGTCAATTAAAATTATCAGGGTTTTTTTTGACATTAACTTAAGGTTTGCATGTATGTATAAAAATGACAGATGGGAATCTATATGAAGTCAAAACAACCTACATCATACTGTTAAAGGATTGKTTTTTTTTCTATCCATACTTTGTTTTCAAGTGTTTTCCAAAAAATCGGCAAAAACATCGTGTGCGTGTGCAAAAAAATGCCATTTCACCCGAGGGAAATAAACTGTCAGGTCTTCGTAAAGAATTGTGTACTTAAACTACTTCCTCACGGGCCTGACGTGAAACATATTAAACCGTGTTGTTGTTTTGAAATTAGTCCTCTAACTCCTTTGGGGAGGTCACTAGCAAATCAGCATGGTGTGGGAATAGTCAAATAGTCATTAAAGGCAGGTGTCCTTGAAAACAAGATTGGATTTAAAAAACACTTCAAAACACTTCGTCAACCCCGATTGTATTACGAATACTCTGGAGTTCTTTCAAAAGCTCAATCAAGTCCATCATAAAAGTTGTAAATGATCGATTTTTACGTCCTTGAATACGGCTACGTTAATGGGAAACTGGTAATTTTCGCAATTAGATAATAATTACTGATCAAAAAGAGCCTAATTGGTGGAATAAGTACTTGCTTTATTCATTGATCAACCCGGTTTCTTATTGAAAGAAGAGAGCAGACATCGATATGTTTGTTTGTTATTTTCCCATATAAGAGCCAGATATTTTTTTGTACAGCGGAATCACGAACTGGGAGCGACATAAGAATACCCCGTCACTTTCTGGCTCAACTGATGTGAGGTTTTTCTTGACGAGCAATTATGTTGCTATACGTTAAAAATAATGAGTAAAAAGTAAATGGGCAAAAAACGACGGTTGTTTTTAGACGTTTTACATGACATTGGTTTTTCTTTGTTTGTTAAATATTTGATTTTGAGGCACGTTTCAAAAGATAATTCATGCACTTGACGTAAGACACCTGCTGTTTGTCCAACTTGTAATGAATATAGAAGCTATGCTTTCCCTGACAAAATGTTCTACTGCAACGTTTGAATTATACAAGTCAGGTAAGAATTGCCTACGAAAGCCGACTGCGTAACAGGTCTTGCTGTGACGCAAACGAACTTTCGATGAATAATCGTTTCGCTCATGAAAACGAAAGGAAGATTACGTTAGTGACAGTATGAATTTCATACAAGACTGTTTTCGATTCAATTAGTAATTTCCATTTTTCAGTAAAAGTCGGTTGATCAGGCCGTGACTGGCGGTAAACAGATCACAAATCAGCAGACGTCACAATTCATATTGCTTTCAGAGCAATCGACTACACACTGAGCTCCTGTCCAGATGAAAATGACTTCCTTTTTCCATCTCGCACGACATTTCTCAGTAGTAATCCTAATGTATTTTCCTTCCCTGGGAAACTTATCTAGACTAATTCATCAAAACCTAGGCATAGAAAAAACTGCCGATTCCGTACTTTCCCCCTCACCCTAGATCATCTAATAATATATCCTTTTCACCGTCCGTATGATTCAAAGATGAATCGATTATATTCACGCTATTCATTAAACTGATGATTGCTCCCACTACTGTGCCTACCATATTTACATCCGGTACAAAAAAATGCCAACATCTGGACAGTACTAGACCAGAAGGGTTGGATGAGTAGGAAGACAGAGCACGTTTAGCATGACCTTATATGGTCGTCTTTGATAATTTTACTGACTTTATGGTGTCATAAAAAAGAAGAAACACTGAGAAAGTATCCGACGCAAGGACCGTTTATTAACAAATACAAGTTATGGAGTAATGGTAGGGTTATCGAGAGTCAAACTATTTATCATATAAAGCGTAAATAGCAGTAGGTCTCTAAAGGGTKTCGATAAATACATGATCAGTCTAACACAACTTTGTGTTTATAACTTTGCTTTTTCCAGGAAATATTCCAGTTTCCTGGACGTGACGGAGTTCAAAGGCATGAACCTTTGGTAAAGCATATGGCCATGTCTGGTTATATAATGAGTCAACTATGACATCATTGTTTTTCCTGCAAGTATAGTTTAATCCAGTGGCTGAATCAGGATAAAAATTAGATATTCAAACGCTCATACAGGATCTAATACATACCAACATGCATACTAACACACGGTTGAACCCGGTTGTACAAAAGGCGGAAGTCAATCTATACATTTGCACGGATTATAAAGTAAAATATGTTTGACGTTTGTGATTAAATACGACGTAACAACCTCTGTAATCTACACAAAACATTATCTCATCAAGRCATATGAACATAAAAGTCTGACTGTTTGGGTAGTAGTCCACTGTATTACCACCCCCGTCCACGTGGGAACGGAATTATCTACTACCCAAATATAGATATTATAGTGATGCGATAATTGAAAATAAAAAGAATATCGTTCAAAAGCTATATATATTTTGGTCCACAACGTACATTGTTCCCGTTATGTGGATGACCAATGTATGCACTGAGGCACGTATCCGTTTAGTTCAGTTGTAGACTATAGTGCTATCATTTATTTCGACCCCTTGGCACATCCGTTATCACCCTTCATCTATCCCAATCTGTTCTCCTGCCTCGTGAATTTGATAAACGTTTCTTGGCTAGTCTCGTTATTGTTTCTTTTTCACTTTCATGTTTTCGTATATATTTTGGTTTTGCGCAATGCACGACTGTGTAGAGTCTGTTAACATACACACTTCGTTTTCAGAATATATTTTAATAGTTCGAGTCGGGTTCAACCAAATTCGGGCTTTCGTGTTGAAAACACTGATGTTGTAGGAGCTACACGCAGATATATTAATGAAAAAAAATTGTTGTTTTTATCAAAATTATCAAATTTTGTTTAATACCACCTGGAAATAAGCCGAGTAAAAATAGAACTAGAAAGCGCACGAAACATTGTTTCTACTGAGTTTAGTAAAAATTAACTATTGCTACATACAAACTTGTTATGTCGAAGAGTTTGATAGTCTTGTACGATACAAAATATCAATCTTATTGACAGGTACTTAACGTAGCACTAACATCAACAGACTACTTTCGTATCGAACTAATGATTTTCCGGAACATGTGACTTCAAGATTACGTTTTTTCTTCAACTTTTTCCTATAAATGTAACACATCTAAAACAAGAAAAAAAAACAATTTATTGGAAGTGAAGAAAGTCCCGGGTCATGGGATATTCCTGGCTCGAGGGATAGTCCACTGTTTTGTACTTTGCTTTCGGTTTTGATATCATCATTATTATTTTAACAAGTATATATATCCTTTTTTTGTTTTTGCTTTTCTCTCTCTTACAATAAGCCTTTAAACAAGTTATTTTCAAAGATTGATGAGATGTTGTGATGATCTTACTGATATTTTGTACAGGAACAGTAATTTATACACGCGTGACGTCATGATTTGCATGAGTTAGTCGAGTGGGCACATGACGTCATTGGGATAAACAAGCTTCGTGATGAGTTGAGTATAAAAGTGACACCAATTCTGAAATGATTCATTCAAAACAACCACAGCGAGTGAACACAGTGTTCAATTATATAAGGAATTATGAACATGTCCACAGCAAAGACTGGATATCTCTGGCTATCCACCGGCCTACCGTACGGTCAAGACAAGCAAAGACTTCAAGTTGTGGCATATATGGGGATGTCTGATCCTTTTGTARTGTTTTACAACGATAGTTCGCCTGTTTGGCAAAAGCCTTGCGCTGTACTGAGACTATCACATGAATTTCGAGTTCAAGAGAACAATGATTTAAGTTTTGAAGTCACTCCACTTGGTGAAAGAATTGGAACGGGGCCTTCTTCTCTCGTTTTCACTGCAGAAAGTACGCAAGAAAAGGAGGAATGGATCAGGATCTTCAGACAAACACTAAAAGAAACAGAGAAAGTTGTAAACAGAAGAGAAAGAAGAAAAACTCCAAGGTGTACTTCTACACTCACATCTATCGAAGAAACAGACGAAGGCTGGGATCAGCGAAAGGGGAAAAGAAGTTTGATACTGGCGTGACCTCTCGAACAGACTGGAAACAAAGTCCAGCTGCCATCACGTAGTACTACCTCCATATAGGACATTACGCTAAGAGGAAATTAGCTAGAAAGCAGGAATGGTACTCAATATTTGCATAAGAAGTAAACAATATTTGCCCTGAAAAAACATTTGTCAGACTGAAAGCGGCGTGGGTTTAATTCAAACAGACGCTTTCTCACGTACAGCGTTGTGTGACTAATCGCTCTGACGCATATATCTACAACGAAACACACTATGAAAGGAAAACAAGCAAAAACAAACCATAGAAAAGAAAGGAAAACAAGCAAAAACTAAAAGACTAACAAAACTACCAATAATGATCTTTTCTGCTGTCTGGTCACAGCAGTGACACTTTTGGAAAGCTATTTTTCATGTAAATATGAAATGTTTATATGCAAATTCTTTCTCGCTGAGTTCATAGTGACTTGATAGAATGAGTAATGTTTCAAACATGTCCTGTTTTCTAAGAACAAATACTAAAATTATTTATTTGTAAATAGATTATTTTTGTAGAAAAAATGTAAATAGCTTCAAAAATGAGTATTAAAAGATACGATAATATCTTCATACTTTGCTCTTATTCAAGACGCTTGACCTGTTTGTTCTTCGTATCTTTAATTTCAAGGACAATGAAGCATTGAAAACTTTGTCGAGATAAGTACTCCATAAATCAAATTTTTTTCGTGAAGAAGGCCGCTTTTATGAAAAGTAGGATAAAACATATTTTATCAAGAAAGAAAATACGAGAAAATGCTAACGCAGCTGACGCGGAAACAATTGTCATTAAYCAAAATAATATGTATTTATATTCAATATTGTTTTTGTTATTCACTAGTTATTCTTCGTGTATTTAAGCCTTCGTATAATTGTTATTTTCGATATTTGATTTAACTGTGAACGTGGCACGGCTCTGTCATTGTTGACGCATGTCGTTTTCCCCCAGTCTTTCGACCTATACACAACTAGTACAATACAGAAGGCTGGTTACCAGGTGATTCTCTTCCTCCGCTAAAGCACGTACACTCACTACATTACTAAGCTCTTTTTTCATCGTTTACTCTTGACGATTTAATCCCTTGTTACAGAGTCCAGTCAGCCACATCAGAGTTAGTAGAGGGGAACCCGCTGCCCATATCTTTTGTACGATTCTCATCGTATTACCTCGTCTATGTTGGCGCATGCTCAGTTTATGTGTCCAAAAGGAAGAGTGTATCGTCTATATATTCGTCAATAAATGCACCTACTTCCTGTATTTTGAAAACAATATCTGATATTGTGTATTTATAGACTTTTCGTAATCTTTTAAGGATTTAGGAGATAGTTTGGCTTATCGTGACTTTTTTCTACCATCAGCGTTGTTATCAACTCTCGTTGTCAGTTTTTTCTATAAATGATGATGAATGGCGGCGAGTCTTTGCCTAAAAAGGCATCAAATTTATCATCGTTCTCAATAGTATAGCGAACTGTGTGAATTTTCATAATCGAACTATTATCATCAGAGACAACAATCAAGGAATCACTACCATGACAGTCATTTCGTTGGATATTTTCTTGAATAACTGATTTTTCTCATTTTTGGTAGATTAGTGATAGAAAATTAAAACACTGTCGAGTTTTCATATTTAAACTACCTGGGTTAGATACTAGAACTCATAAACTTATTTTCCTTTATTAGTCCTCAGACGAGTTCAAAACACATAGTGTAAGATCGATTATCTATGAGACTGATCAAAAATAGACCACAGCACAGAATCAATCCCCTTCGAGTGAGTTTTCTAAGAATATATCGCCGCGACTCACGTGAGGTCGTCACATTCACAGACAAACAATACAAACACGACATTTGTTTTGCTAATTGTTTTTGTGTCTGTATTTTCCATAGTTGTATATGCATATTGTTGTTAGTTTGCTTTATACAGTGAATCTCATTGTAGAYATAAAACAGCCCACGCATCTCTTCTTGGATTTTTTGCAAACCAGAAATTCAATATCAAGCTGTTACATTTCATTGCAAGCTAGATAACACACTTTAGTATTTGCAAGTTGGACTTGTCTAGAGTTTTGAATTTAAATTCCTTCCCAAGAATTGCGAAAATTCGTGCAAATAATTTTGTTGTTGTCGCTTTTTTTGTTTGTTTTTGTTTTCATTTTTTGCAGCTGGAAAAACGTATCAATGTTTTTTTGTTTCCAGTCGTTTAAAAAACTGTAAGACTATAAATAAACACAAAGTGTTTGGTTCATTATTTCAMTCAAAGCGAGTTCATTGTTTTTTGTTTTCGCGTATTTTATTGTGCAGTGCACTTGTTTCATCCTTGAAACAGTTGTAACACTAATAAAACGCAATTGCATTAGCTGGTGTTTCCATCACGACGCATTGCTTTGATCTATTGTTCTCTACTAGCATCTCCTTTTCTAATTCGAAGGAAAGCAAGTCTAATTAATAAATAGTAAAACAGACAAAGGCTTTTGTATTACAATTCGGCAATTTTAAAAAATTGCCGAATTGAGTTGAAAAACTATTTCACGGACACACTGGATGAACCAACTAGTTATAACATGTTTATAGTTAGAGTAATTAGGCCACATATATAATTGATTTGTCTTAAGTGTTGCCTCAAGAATTAGTGTACCATTGTAGAGGTAGTCTGAATAGCTGTGCAATAGCCTATAATCTAAGTCAGTGGAGGCCGAGCTGGTTGTCATTCAGTCTCCAAGCTATTTATATAGCTAGCCTATTCTAATAATAATATCTTCACACCATTACATGTAAAAGTGAAGCACATCCTTTTTTTTTAAGTACAACACAAACCAACATTTTAACAAGTACATTAAGAGCTCACTGCATTGCAAGGTTTTACCTCATCAAATTGTCCAGGTATTCTACCACAGTTAACCTGATCATTACATCTAAACAAGGCAGTAGACTTGGTCATTTTTCTGATAGACTATACTGTTTTCTACAACATTAAGAGCTCACTGCATTGCAAGGTTTTACCTCATCAAATTGTCCAGGTATTCTACCAYAGTTAACCTGATCATTACATCTAAACAAAGCAGTAGATTTGGTCATTTTTCTGATAGACTATACTGTTTTCTACAAGCTTCTTCAAAGATTCAATGATTTTTGCACAAGGTACTCGACCAAGGTGTTGCGATGAATGAACAACATCAGTTATTCTTGATACATGAGCACCATCATGCAGAGACCCTAAACAAATGGTAGATCATTTGCTCAAATTGCAACTTTACAGCTCAAAATGAGAATTACTTTTAATGACATATTTTTACAGTATTTTGTTATCACGTGCTTTGTATAAACAGAAATCATGGCTACTGCTTATTTCTTTGAAGATTATTTTTGCTTAGCCATACTTTACCCTTACCCAAAGTAGGCACAGGTAGCCCAAAGCAAAACCAATCTCAGAAGCAGACTACATTGGGACTACTAACCTTTGCAGATATTTTTGATCGCTTTTATTATAACAGGTTTTAAGTGTTTGTCATGTGTTATGATCTGCAGAACCAAAAGTAAAAACAGATATTTTACTGAAATGATATATAATCGAACACAATTCATAATAAGTAAAAGTTATACCTCATATTTGTCTTTGTGTGAATCTTTGTAAAAAACTTCTCCTTCTCTTTCCAATTGGCACAATATATCTCTCAAGAATTTCTGATCGTTTACTGATGATTGTTCATCAATATCATCCTTTATAAAATGAGTGTAAATTGGATTAAAAATCATAATTTCATTTCTTTAGAGCCATTATTGAATAAAATGTTTACCTTTTTAGCATCAGAACCAATTGCAGAATTCATGAATCTTTTCACATCAGGAACAGAGCACAATTCAGCAAAAGAAAAACAGATTTTGCTAAGACGAGTCCATTGATGTATCAYATCCAACAAAAACTTAGAACTCCTTGTTGTCTGACAATTCAGCAAGCTTTCAGGTGGAGTAAATGGCACTTTGTAGAGGGTTTTGGACAAATTTACAACATCAAGCCAAAATAAACTCTCTGCATTAAAGTTATCCTCTAATGCTAATTTAACAAGAACAAGGAGTCAAGGAAAATAAMAGATGTTTTYTAAAAAGAGCAAGGGCARCCAAGTACTAATTGTGGTTGTGTTATAGRTTTATCTTATGTGGAAAATGAGTTGACATCAAAACTTTGTCACAATGGTGATGAAGAARTACCGATAGCTATCTCTCCATTTTAGGGTCAAACCTTACATACCCATTCATATAGCAGAAAAAGTRCTAAGTTTTAGATTATTTTAAGATGAATTTTTATTAGAAGCTCAAAAGGGATACTGTTTGACCAAACATGTCTCTTTTTAAATATAATTTGCACTTTRTAACCACAAGTGAATTGTCATTAACAATTACATTACATTGAACTAGTTTGCACTATTTTGGTTTTATTTCAAACTATATCAGGATAAAGGATACAAATTGTATTCACAGTAAACTGTTTTTCATTGCGATATTCAGTAATTTTTCCTTGGACTGTGACTAAATCACCCAAAGTAAACAAATCTTTTATTGTATCTCTCCAACAACAGCATGCTATAATTCCTGTTCCATCATCCACTTTGAATAAACACATCAATCCATTGATATTTTTTTATGTAATAGRTCTCTACAATTAGATGAGGGGAATTACAAGGACTGCCAAACTAGGACAAGGCTGGAGTCAATGGAACTCTTTGTGTTTACCCAACAATCATATTACATATTTGAAACAGACCAGAATTATATCCTATAAATCTTGGGGGTTTCAATAGCCRACTAAAGTTGACTATTAATCTGGACTGCCCTGATACTCAGGATAGGTTTCAATTGACTAGTAGCTTACAATTGTCATGTCTAAAAAGTCTGTGAGCAGACAATAGCTGGGGAATGTAAAACTCAATTGTCCCATAAATCATCCATTATTACACTGTTCCAAAATACCATTTACTTATGGCAGAATTTTACAGATACTAAGTTATATAACTAACAAAGTTTACAACAGGTAGAGATTTAAGATGTACAGGGGTTATCATAAAATTAAGTGTATCAAAATGAGACAGCTAAACAACCTCTTTGCATCACAAACCTTTATAAGTGACAAGCTTTTCTCTTTCATCAACACTAGAAATGATACCATGGATCTCTACTTTGCATATGATACGACCATGACAATCATAAAATCCTAGACAGTCCAATAAGAAATATGATGCTGAAAGCTCACTAGCACAAACTATTAAGCTTAAAGGAATCGACTACTGACCTTTGTAAGACTTCGATTGTTGAAGTATAAATATCATTTTTATAAACACCTTTCGATGTATCCAAAAGGTAGGATCAAGTCCCCAATAACACACGGCGTTTGAATCATTCTCGTTGTCCATAACAATTGAGCATATTTTGGGAAGAATTTCACGAGAAACGTTTTCAAATTTCGCACCCACATTCGCGCGACTAGGATACTAGTACTCAATCTTTCGCTCGCTATGAACTTAACAAAGGAAACCCAAAATGTCTCGAGAAAACAAAAATAAAAAAGTGCCTGATGATCGCTGATGATCAGAATAAGAGGAGAAATACAACACTATCCATATGTAAATTCGGTAGCCAGATCAGAGTGAACRGATAACCGAGGCAAGCGACCGCCGAAGGAGGGAGGAATTAGGAGGGTTCGGGGGCATTCTCCCCGAGCAAATTTGAACTTCAGTCTCTCGGAAATGCGATTTGCAGGGAGGTGGTGTAGTTCGCTATATATTCATTTAATGTAGAGTACATTTCTTTTCAATGCCCCCGCCACACCTAAAATATTATTGCGGTTGTTATGGTTGTAAATTGTCCAGAGGTAATCTAATCTATAATCAGCCCATTTCTCGGTTTCAGAAAAACTCTTTATTAGTCATTTTTCTTCATTTTACAAAGCTACGCTAGATCAAGAAAGACCGCCAGTTAAATTCTATTGGCTGAAGGCAATGTTGTTCGATCTGCTGTTTTACAATGAAAACGTCTCAAACTTATCTTAGCTAAATACCTCTTTGCTTGTACTATGTGCTAGTGCTAGAACTAGCTAATATTGAATCAATAGGTTTTGACTAAAGCAAAGATTTTGCAAGCACAAAGGTTGCAAAGATGAGACTTGGGATAGCACTTGCCAAAGTCAGTGGCGGTGCAGAACCACATGGATCACCTTTCTTGTTTACTGCTTCTACATCTTTCGCATACTCGCCCAGCCATTTCGAATATGTGTTCTTATCACCAACGTCCTCTAAAGCAATGGCTTTGTCTTTGAAAAGAAGGTTGGACACACCGTCGTACTTYCCAAACAAGGAAAAATTGCCGCACTGTGCTKYTGTAGCTGGCCTACAAAGCTCTCCTGCTTTGACCAACATCTTAATGATGTCTTTGTTGTCACCGGCTCTCCCTACAACAGTGTGGGACTTACTTTGTGCCAAGTTGCAGTTGTCGTGAGACGTATTTGTCACCACTATAAAGAATCCAAAATATGACACATATGAGAACTGGCTCCAACGTCAAAAATGTAACACTATCACTTTTCAGATAAGGAGCTAGCACTCTAAAACAATGGAAATTTCTTTAAGGTCTGAATTATCTTTCTCTTCAAAAGCTCAACTTCAACTTCTAGTAAAGCATATGATTTCCCGTCTCTTTTTTYTGATGGGGGTACGATTTGGATTTTCACATTTTACAGTAAAAATCAAATAATTCCATTGGTATTGTTCATGTTTTTAATTCTTTTCCCATATTCTACTGAATCCCAGTCCATCAAATGTTAGTCAAAGTGCATTCAATCCCATTTTAGAGTCAAACTGTATCCAAGTTCAGGGTCATAAATAGGGCTAATCCCAAATCCATCCATTTCACCCCCTTCAGGACCCTCTCATAGTAAGAGTACAGTTAGAATTACGTGTGAAACTGAACTGCGAAAAAAGCAACAAGTTTTCATGTTATTATTGTTATTTTCTTATCAATTTTGATAAATGATGAAAAAAAGATGAATAATGAAAAAGATAAAGTTCAGTTATTACCTTTACTTGTTCCATCAGTGCACAAGTACTTGTAGTCACTCATGTTTTTGCCAACAACTTCACCTGTTGTAAGATGTTTGACAAATGCTACGTCACCTATCCCATCCATCATGCACCTGAAAGCACCGTGATAGCCAGCATAATCATTGTCGGTGCTTTTACAGTTCTTGTCGGGGCAAAGAGCACACAGATTGTCGTAACCAGATGGAACTCCTGCAAACATGTTTAAGCTTTCAGTATGCTACTATTTCAGAAACTCGAATATTGAATCGTGCATTCCAAAACCGTAATGCATTGTTGAATTGGAACTCCACAATATAGCTGCGTTTCAAAATTACAATTCTAAACTTTATATGTCATTGCTTTTACATTTCAAAGTCCCTGACTGAACGGTGCAGTCACACTGACACCACGAAAACTCCTTTTCAACAGCGATAGACCAACGAGGGCTAATTCATTTCGGTCTTGGAATACACTATCTTTGGTATTCAACGTTTTCTGAAATAGCTGTAAATTCTAATATAAATGAAGRTAGTGCACCATCTCAAATAAATAGGGTTAGGTGCAGGACATTAATAGCCGATTTGCGAATTTCGCCTAGTAGTCAAACACAAAGGAATCAAGACGAGGCGCCGCGCATAAAGCTCAGTCATTCCTGAAAAGACAATAGTTTTTCATGATTGACTAAGCTTTATGCACGGCGACTGGTCTTGATCTTTTGTGTTTGACTACTAATAAGACGAAATTCGCAAATCGGCTATTGTAAATGATTGATAACTGAAGTGCAAGCTTACATACATTCCACATTAACTATTACTAAATATTCAAGGGCGAATCCAGAGTTTTTAACGAATGGGTTTCTGTGGGAAATTGATAGCTGCAATTGAAGTCATTTTTTTGTTTCTTGAAATAGCCTGTGATGCAATCTATTATAGTTCTATTAATCGTAACCCCAAGAAAACTAGTGCGCAAGCGGGCAGYTACGGGTTTGCATTGTACGAGTAAAGGTGTACGGGCCCCATCACGTGACTTTTTCCCAACTTTATTTGAACAGGGGTTGATACTTGTGGCCTGATCTTTGACAGTGTAACTTCAGTTTGCTAAAATGTAATCATTGGAGCCCACTTATTACATCATTCTGTATATAGGCAATTATTGTACCTGGAACACAGCTTTCTTTGAAGTACTTAGAAGCAGACTGGGCATCAATATTATCCCCACAGCCTTTACGGAAATCTTTTTGCTTGTTTAGAAAGTATCCAATAGGAAGGATCCATCCTGCCGTCCTCCTATATCCAGTATGRCAGGTCTTTTTTCCTTTGAGTTCTGTCAGTTTGATGTTTATATTCGATACCTTAGCAACAGCAACTCCATAGTAACCAAGACCACCAAGACCGATACTTTCTGTACGTTCAGCTACAATSGGTACAAGTTTATAGACAGTTCCTGAAACAGTGCACAATAAGTAATCAGAATACTCGGTTCAGTATCAATGTTGAATTGCTCGTGAAACTGCAATTTAGTTAGTAGGGTCGTTTTCATCATAAAATGATAATGACTATAACTGATTTAGTTTGTAATTTGTTAAGTTAGTCCTTTAATCTTTCACGGAAGTAAAAGTAAAAATTCTTTGATATATTGAGTATTTTGGCCTCGCAAGACTTTGATATTCATTTCATCTTGATTTCATTTGGTCTTGACGCACAAAATCAGTTTGTATTGTCTGTAAAGCTAAACGAAACTAGTTTTACAGACAATACAAACTGATTTTGTGCGTCAAGACCAAATGAAATCAAGATGAAATTAAAGTAAAAATTACTCTATAGTTATTGAGGTGATCGGCTCCCAAAATTACAATTTTAAAAACACATTTTAATGTAATAACTAAAATTATTTGTCACCCAAAATTACAATTTTAAAAACACATTTTAATTTAATAAGTTAAAATGATTTGGGAGGGATCATAACCTATTGTACATTACCAGCAATATAAACCTTTCCACCATCAAGAGTGATCAAGTCTGCTTCGTTATTATCGATCTTTTTCATGCAGTCTTCGTCGCTTGTTACTTTCACACAGGAGCCCTCCACGTCTCCCTGAACGTTTGTAAGGTTGGCCAAAATTGGGAAAACTTTGACAAAGTCTTCACACTTCTTCATCTCTTTTTCATAGGCACACCAACGAAAATTCTTTGCCGGCTCTTMAATGAAAAAGCAAGAAAATACAACAATGAAACACAAAATTAATCACGATCCTTTCCTTTGTCGTAYACACAAAAGAACATATCATAAAAAACGAGTCGTAAAAACAACTCAACTATGCAATGATTTTGTTACCTCTGCTGTGTTAAAATCGCATTTCTGACTAGAAAAGGCATATAATGAATGCATGTTAAATCAGGGAGGATCAAAGTGATCCCTTTTGGTCGGATCCTGGATTTTTAAAAGGGAAATTTTAAGAAAAGAATTTGATCATCGTTGCTGTCTCTATTCTGGAAATTTTACTGACTTTCTTGGGAAGAATGCGTTATTATTTCTTGTCACGCAAAACTGACATACGTGACATACGTGTCGAGCGTGTGTAAGCGTTTTGTTTGCTAAGATTGACATCTCAAGATTGAACGTTTAGACATTAAAAATGCGCAATGGAGAGAGTTAGACTCAGTTTAAAGGGAACTTTTAGTATGKTGACTGCAACGAAATCATGTTCAAAAGACACGTMAACTTTGCTTCGCATCCCGCCTGCAAAATGTGCTTGTAGTGTTTGCATATCACACCCCGATTTTTATTTAGAGTAGCGTCATCATATTTAAACCAATAGGAATAAAGTGMAGGTCATAGAAGGTCTCAGAATGAGGCAATAGATGCCAAGCAATTCACTTCCTCGTCAATCAATCAACTGTAACTTCAAGATTTTTTTGGGAAGATGCTATAAATATAATACTATCAATTTACAATTATCAAATAGTTCTTGATGATGCTTAACCCTATAAGMACAGAAAATTGCACTTTGAAATAACAACTTCACTCTGTTTTCATGATATCTATTCATAAATTGCTATTTCATCTGGTTTATTTACTTTCTAGAACAATAGTAAAAGTTACTATGGTTACAGTAATTAGGCGGGCTCATGAAGTGATAAAGAAAATTACATGRTCATAGACTAACCAGATAATTTGGGGTATTTCGACATTCAGAAAATTTCCGAATCATTTCATATGCACTTTTTTTTCCGAATCGAGCTTCTTTATATGATATCTTAAAAAAACGTCAACGAAATACATATATTTAACATTCAGAAATTTCTGAAATTCTCTGTTCGCAACAGAACTAATGAACAAATTCAGAAATTTCCAAATACATCAGTGGGTTTAAAATTGTCCTGACAAAGTGTGTGGGCCCATTGCAGGARCCCGGACTGAGACAGTGCACGTTCTGGTCAGTTTGTGACAGTTCTCCAGTTGGCAAGCTACAATGTAGATCTGTTGTAGCTTCCTTTCCTTGTAAAATTGTTATATTTTGTTTTTTTGATATCATTCTCGGACGACCGAATAAATATTACTGACAGAACAGACTAATTGCTTCGTTACGCATGAAATAAGGATGACAATCATCATCGAAAAAAAGTATTCCAGAACATTTTAGTGATGAGCATTGGAAGCACTGTATGAAGCGCGAGCACTTCGTAAATCAACTTATTATCGTCGCATTTCGCAAAAAAGACATACATCAATGTATGATGTCGAGGAAGGGACATCCAAGTACACCGCGTCTAGTACGAATCAGTGTTCTCTTAYTGATTGAACTATTGTAGAACTTACCAACGATACCAACGATCAATGCTGYAAACACCACTGCAGTAATCCAAGCCATATTGAAGCTAAAAAGTACTTAGGAAGKTAAGTAAGGTGCTGTGTAGTTTGTTGAACTGTGAAAGCCTTGCAAAGAGCGCCTCGATGTTTGCTACCAAACGACGCACCCATTACAGTATTATTGACAGTCATGTTTGAACCAATAGAAATTGAGCAAAGGTCACAGAAGATCAGATCCCAACAGTGGACAATGGTTGGCAACCGTCTCGGTATTTACTTCCTGCTGAAACAATCAATCAACTATTGGCGACTTTCGCTTTTTTATGCCTGATTAAATCACGAAAATCTTATTTTCCAACCATAACGGACCGCATCGCTTACCCTGGATACCTCTCTTTTCTCAAAGTGTGTCTTATGCAGTCTCTAAATAAAGAGCAATATAGATAAACTACGACAACGGGAGTTCCAACTTTTGATGTCTTATCTCGATAAATACAAAACCGTTGAGGTGACGGTTTTAGCGGCCATCTTGGACCGAGTAGGCATTTTTCACGCACGTCACGCGCTGATGACCCCGGAAATTACAGAGAAATGTAATGGAGAACTAAAAATGAGTTTACTCGCTCCCTAGATCAAGTACGTCCTTCACATTTAGCCAGTTAACTCCTTTTTGCAGTATCTAACGTTTGCAACTGATAACTCTTTCCAAATTTGAATTCAGCGGGGATTATTTGACATCGATTTCTCACTATATCCTTGTTATTTTGCCAGGTAGCACCGCTCGGAACGGGTCTCATGATAGGTTGAGAAAACAARGGACAAACAATAGATAAGTCTTCCAACAATATAACAAAACCTAACCTAACAATAGTGGTGCTGTACTTAAGAAGCAATCAAAAAGCAGGTTTCTATTGGTACTGCATTACTGGTTATTTTGCGACACTTTGCCTACTCGTCCAAGATGCCCGCCAAAACCCTCACTCCAACCATATCTCCCCGGGGGGGACTCCATTGAGCTGTGTGTCTGATTATTTTCACCGTTTCCATTGRCAATATTGGTAGTTTCGTAAATGAATATTTCATTCAGAATTTGAATTGTAATGGATTTCTTAGGTCCGTGAGGAAACCATGTTCTAGTGAATTTTATATATAGATTGTACCGTCAAAACACTAAACAACTACCAGGATACAAGAATCAAAAAGGAGTGAAGGTCCCATTCTGGAACACCTTGGCCACAACAAAAAGATTCAGATCTTTATTAGGTATTTTTCTTAATTTTACAAGTGAAGTGCTCATGGACTGAAAAACRTTACTGGTGGTTAAATTAACTGTAATCACTAACATTTATCTGATCAGCTRTTTATGAATGCCTCATCAGGCGAAATTCSAGCAGTTTGGAAAATTTAACATTAGCCTAACAATTTGAAAAGATGCAGTACTTTAAAGTCTTTGAATTTTTACAACATTGTGGAATACCTTTACGATATGTTACTAATATTCTTTTTCATCGTTGGTAGCAAATACTGTTTCAAAACTGCTTAATGTTGAATACGCCTTTTTTTCGTTCTAGGCGAGTAACCCCCGTTTTAGTTGACAGCAATCTCTCATGAGCAGAGACCTTTCCAAAAACAAAAGAAATTAACACGAAAAAATTTCATAATAAATRACAACAKCCCTACAAATTTGCCTTTTCTTCGTTGGAGACTAAGCCTATATTCCAGAAGGCTCAAACTCTAGGTTTTGTGKGAATACAGGCTTTAGCCTCAAATCCGAGAAGATTCAGATTTCCACAGCTGTTATAATGAATATTTTTTCATTCTTTCTTTTATTAGTGATAAGGTTTCTGAATGTGTCTAAAATAGTGTACCAAAATAGCGGTTGCTCCCTTTGAACGGGGGCTTATTTAGGAGGAGCCGACGGGTTCCTGGGAGAAATGTCACACTGTTAGTCTTATGTGTTAGCCAGCCAGTGTAAGTCACAACTGATTGTCAGCGAGAAATTCAGGGAAAAGAATTTTCTGGGCAAGGAATACTTTCTAAGAATTTTGCCAGGAAAATAAAAATTTCCTAACTAAAAAAATTAGCTAAATTATTAAAAAACGTTGCCAGGAACAAAATTGTTTTAAAGAARGGAGGTCGTCAACAATATAGCTAAAAATCTCTTTCTCAGGTAAAAATTTGTACAAAAACATAGTTATTTAGAAGAACAGAGTCCGTTGGCTCCTCCTGCTTATTTCGACTAATGGAATGATTAAGAACCATCATTATTTAACTTTATTATCTTTCAGTGGCGGATCCAGGGGGGTTCCATGGGTTCTTAGGAACCCCCCCTCAAGCATAAAAAAATAAATGATAAATGATAAATGAAATAAAATGAAAACGCCGTACAATGAATTTTTATTAAATACATTCACACTACATTTGCTACAGTTCGAGAGGCACAGTAAAAAAGTTCGTTTTAGGAAAATGCGAAAACAAAGTGAAGCCCCCTTTGAAAAATCCTGGATCCGCCACTGTCTTTACCGTGTATTTGAGTGCGAATACTATCGTTAATGCTAGTGCAAACTCATACGACAAGATGAGCTAGAAATGGAATGAAAATGTTTTTACTTAAARCAAATTTTTCGCGAGTGCAATGGTGGCACAAATGAGACTTGGCAGAGTAGTGAAGATGACAAACGCACTGCATACAGGACCTTTTTTGTTCAGTGCTTCTACATCTTTCGCATAATTACCCAGCCATTTCAAATAAGTGTTGTTACTTCCAACACTCTTCAATTCAATGGCTGAGTCTTTGAAAAGAAGGTTGACCCCGCCATACATTTTAGACTCAAAYAAGGAGAAATTGCCGCACTGTGCTGCTGTAGCTGGTTTACAAACCTCTCCTGCTTTGACCARCATCTTGGTGATGTCTGCGTTGTCACCTGATCTTCCTACAACAGTGTGGGACTTACTTCGCGCAAAGTTGCAGTTGACGTGAGACGTATTTGTCACCACTATAAAGAATACAAAATATTACACATATGAGAGCTAGAATTATAAATGTAAAATAATTGAATTATCCGAATATTTGAAATCATTACAAGAGAGGAAATTGTGATTTGCGTACCTTTGCTTGTTCCATCAGTGCACAAGTACTTGTATTCACCCATTTTGTCATAGCCAACAACTTCACCTGTCGTAAGATGTTTGACAAATGCTACGTCACCTTTCCCATCCATCATGCATTTGAAAGCACCGTGATAGCCAGCATAAGCATTACCGTCGCTTTTACAGCTCTTGCCGGGGCAAAGAGCACACAGATTGTTATAAAGAGATGGGACACCTGCAAACATGTTCAATAATTAGGCATTAACCCTTTTACCGCCGAATAATTGTGGTTAAATTTGACTGTTTTTAAGGCAGAATGATTTAAAAATGATTTCGGGACTAATCTTAAGGTTGTCAAGGAAACAGCTGCTGTTCGTGATAACTGAAGGCTTACTTTTGCAAGGGATGCCTGTAAGATTTTTGCTCGTGGCTTTGACTAGCAATCAGCTCGTTCAAAACACAGGAAAAATCGGTTTTTAGGTGTTTTTGAAGTCAAGTTCTCGCACAAGAGCCCCTAGACTTGCATCATAAAGCTTGACTATTGTGGCAGAAGCGATCTTCTGGAAGAAATCAGAAGTGGGAAGCGATTTTACGAAGAAAATGGCGAGCAACCGTTGATTTGTGTAAAATGGCGCCATTT